TCTAATCAGGGGAGGAATAGTGGACTCTCTTCTTTGTCCACCAAGGTAAAGCCGTATATTATTAAAGGGGCTAGTGTACTGTGGTGTTCTGAGGATATTATTATGATACTCACCACGGTTGACAAGGTTTTTAACTCTTGGTAAGTTTTCAGTTGGACAGCATAAAAAGCCATCAACGTCATAACTAGACAAGTCATCTTTGACTGTTTTACAAGTYACAGCGTCAACAAATGTCTGTCCTTCCACGAGAAGTGCTTTTGTGGAACTTTCACCAGTGACGACGACGCCAGCAACACTCTGACCASCGGGGCTKGGAGGRCAAACTTCAGCTAGACTGCAGAGCCTTCGTTCAAATTTTTGGCAATGATTTATGTTCGAGTCAATCCTGTCGGCCTTTTGAGAAGAATCACTAGAGAACCAGGATATCCCTGAAGCTAAAATAATGCCCTGTTCATTTAACAGAGTTTTTTTGCAGAAAATATTTGCGAGAAAAAAAAACATTGAAAATTAATTTGCTCTTCATTTTTTTAACCAGATCTGTACACCTTTACCATAATGGCCACCATCTAATTAGCATAAATCTTTAAAATTTAGAATTTTTGTCAAAGTAAACTAACAGCTGATAGGAACCTGTGCCAATAACAACATATAAAAGTTTGAAATGAAAACATTAAATTCTGGTGAAGCTATGAGGATTATTTAAAATTATATACCATAACACCAGAACGAGGCTATAAAGGCCTTGGCTGAAAATTACATACATTTCTTGTATTTTCATTTGGCCATAAATTTGTTCGCATTTYATTCAGGGCTGTAAAACTTTTCAAACATGTTTATTTCTGGTAGTTCATTCACTTGAAAGTGACAAAGTTTTCACATATTTCATATTCAGAAACAAATATAGACAGACAGCCATTGGTGGAAAGTTACATACATTTGAGAGGGAACATCACAAAAGGGGTCTTGTGTCTAGCTGGAAAATGCAGTCTTCCAAAAGACGCAATTAATTCACTCGCTGCATCAAAAGGGTCTTAATTCTTTAGCCTCCTTTTGTGCTGTCCCTTCTCATCATTGTCCTGACTGCAAGCAAGGTCATCAATCAAGGTCAGCTTTTTTGATCAGTAATTTCGGCTTTTATTAGCAAGAAAAAAGGAAACTTCGGGCCTTGTGTTGGTCTCTATTGTCCAGCTGCATGACGGTGAATGGGCGTTGTTGTGCGTCTGTGCAGCATGGGTTGATGTGCGTCTTGCGCGCTGTGCATGGTCTAAGTTCAGGCCAAGATGAGAGGGAACATCACAAAAGGGGTCTTGTGTCTAGCTGGAAAATGCAATCTTCCAAAAGACGCAATTAATTCACTGGCTGCATCAAAAGGGTCTTAATTCTTTAGCCTCCTTTTGTGCTGTCCCTTCTCATTTCTTTGTATTTTCATTTCACCATAACTTTTTTCCTATTTTGTCCAGAGTTCTAAATCGTTCCAAAAACGTTTATTCCAGATAGTTCTTTGATTTTACAGTGTCAAAATATTCATATCTTTTTTATTTGGGAAGAATACAGTTGCAGCCATTATGGTAAAGATGTTCTATATGAATGTTTCTAAGAAATTTTTTTTCGGAGTGTCTAAGTGTCAGGCAGTCTGACCGAGTATTGATAAAAAACTAAACGTCAGTAGAAAAGCAAAAAAACAAAAAAAAAAGAAAGAAAAAAATCGAGATGCTGACATTTATTCTTCTTGATCACTCTGACGTTTAGACACACAACGCCCATTCACCGTCATGCAGCTGGACAATAGAGACCAACACAAGGCCCGAAGTTTCCTTTTTTCTTGCTAATATAAGCCGAAATTACTGATCAAAAAAGCTGACCTTGATTGATGACCTTGCTTGCAGTCAGGACAATGATGAGAAGGGACAGCACAAAAGGAGGCTAAAGAATTAAGACCCTTTTGATGCAGCGAGTGAATTAATTGCGTCTTTTGGAAGACTGCATTTTCCAGCTAATTTATTCTTTTTGATCACTYTGACGTYTAGACACTCCATTTTTTAATTCTATAATGCGTTTGAGTGTTTGAGATGGTTTGAAAAGATTGAGATCGCTGTTCACTATACATTGATTTATTTTATACTTACATACTAGACGAAACAGGCCGCTTTTATCCTGACACATTTCGTCTGAAMTTTCCCTAGGAACCAACCAAAACGCCGTTCGGGCGGATCTGTCTTCGTATATCGCCACACACTGCTTTCCGTCATCAAATAAAATCCGTCCATCACCTTGTATAGACACACGGAGTGGAGTCAACCTAGTATTCCAATCCTGTGAAAACTGTCGAAAACGATCATTAGCCTGATTTTTTAGAGAGCTATCATGAGATAAACAGATACTTATTCGCATATTAACTTTATTTTAACATATTTGAACTGACATGAATTCATCATATTCCCTCATAAAACTCACGAAAATCAAGTGAAAATATTGGATATTTGTAGTCAAGTAATGTTTAATAGCACCATTGAATACCGGTTGGGCAATAAGGATTCTTTTTTTATCTTTCCAGCCATAAWAACAACTTAGAATGTTTTAGCAATATCTACAATAACGTTTTTTCATGACTTTGTTAGATAATTTTTGAAGCTGAAAAATAGATCAGTTTCGGTCAACAGATGACMTTTTGAAGTACAGCCGCACATTTGCGCATTCTAAACCAGTGAAAGTCTAAACTATGAGGGATTTGTTTCCTGGTAATTAGTCTTATTATTGGCTCTTACCAAGAAAATATCGCTATCTGAACGATGAAGAACATCTCTAGTTCCCGAATCAACGACCAAACCGTCTCTCGCTATTTGAAACGACTTAGGGCAATATCCATCTCTCATTTGCATTCTACAGACCTCCTTCTCTCCAGCATCTGGACAAAGAATAATA